CACTCATACAGCAGAAGAAGCGACCGCCCACTATAGTTCCTGCAAAGCAATCCTCCCCAAGCCATGACACCCAACGCAGCAAGTTACTTGAATTAGGTGAGTATATGTTTCTGTGCCACAACCCCATGATAACAAATATTATAGTCGGTCAGTTAACCTCGGCAACCTCAATCACAGCCACCACACACCACACACATTTTCACCCAAGCAATACGAAGCACACGAAGGGTCTTCATACAAACCCCTCGGGAAATCTCGGGCCACTAATCGGGCCCGCCCGGGACAGAAAGGGCAAGAAATGGCTCATTTCCAAGCACGCAATGAAAATCCATTGGAGGATTTGATTTTATGACTTTTAGATTGTTTCGGTTTGGAAGAGGCTGGAGGACAAGAGCTGTGATTGGTGAGTCGGGTGATAGTTGAGGGATTTGTTTGTGTTTTTGAAGAAGTCTAGATTACTAGTAGTAGATGGGGTGTAGTGACGACGGTATTGTAATGACCTTGTGGGTTTCAACGTTGTGTTTGATAGTCTTTACTTGCTTGTTTTTTTCTTGCGATGAGGTGCGAGAGGGGATGGAGTTGATAGACTACATATGTAAGTCATGGTGTATGTGGGTTCGGTCATTACTAAATTAGACATGCATTGGCCATTGCGAGAGATAACTTTGGGCTAGTAGACATGCTGTCATGGTTCGTGCTGTCTAGCTACATAGTTAAGGTGTGGTCGCTCGGTGTCTCTAAGTAGTCTAGTAGGTTGTGAATCTCGCGTGGCCAGTGGATTCCTGTCAAGTATCTAGGCTCTTCTACTCCGAGTTTTCTGGAAATCTACATCAATCAGAAACTGACTGCATGTCCCCGAGATTAGTTACTATAGACCATTTGCTTTTTTGTTATCGGCACGGGCCGAAACCAGTCAAAGTACATAGGTATGCCGATGTTGCATAATGGTCGCCATCGTCTTCGCCGATGCTTTGGTATGTATGTACCCAACGGGTATAGACTGTTTGGAGGCAGAGGGCAAGTTTGTCGGGTCTGAGGGATTTGTCAGTTCGTATTTGTCTTGTTTGAGTAATTAAATCACTTACGGTAAGTCTGCTAATTTATGACCAACTAATCTTCTCTGAGGAGGAAGATGGATAGACTTCTTTGACTTGAGATATACTCGGGTCAAGAGAAACCGATGCGATGTTTCTGTGTCGTCACATGCGGAGAGGCCGTGGAAGCACATGTAAGCTCATGGCTCATGTATGTATCCGTGGTTATTTCCAGTACCGAAGTGCCTTGGATTTGAGGACTCCAAATTTGGGTTCTAGCCTCGGAAGTAAGACCACCAGAGCAATGACCTGACCTGTCGCTGGTTCTGTTATATGAAGTGATAGATAGCATAGGGTATAGATAGAGATTCATATGTCTGACCAGCAGCTTTGATGCATGGGGAGTCAGCTCCCAGTCATTGCGCGAACAGACAGACACGCGACTCTCTCACTCGGTATGGTAACGTACTGGGCTCACCCGGGACGATACCTGACAAGACATGCAAGAAGAAGCAGCTCGTGTTGAACTCTTGAATTGCCTGCAAACTCGTCATGAATTTTTTCTGCCTTGTCCATTAGTCCGTCGGTCGCAACTCTCTTAGTTACTCTCTACTATCTTTCTGACTACTGGAAGTGACTCTTCCTCTCTCTCCTCCTTCTCTCTTGTCTCTCCTCTCCTCCAATCCTTCCCCGCGTTTTCCTAACCACTTGCATTCGATTCTCCCCTCCTCCTTCTCATACCCCTCCTGTTAGTCCCTCCCCCCCTCTTTCGTATATATCATCTCCCCTCCTCTTGTCAGCGTCGTTCGCATTGCGCCGCTGCTCATCGGATCCGCTCTATCTCGACCCTTTGGACACGACAGGTTTTCCCCGCAGCCCCGGCAAGTCGTTCGCTCCACCGACGCTACTCATTGCCACTACCGGCCGCGTGACATAGAAATTCGGGAAAAAGAAAAAAAAAAGAGAGAAGAAAAAGAAAGGATTCAAGGAGGACACTAAAAGGAAAAAAAAAAAAAAAAAGTAAAGGGAATTTCACTTAACCATTGTTCTCCTGAACACTTTTCACCACACCCACAGGAAATCACTTCGGCGCATCGCAACAGTCAGTCTCACTTTCTGACTGCTGCTGACTGAGCACACGCAAGGTCCTTCGTGGTCGCTGACCCTCCTCACTATCTACCACCACTACGCCAACCGATTCCTAGCCGTCGTCGTGTGGATTCTATGCGCCCGACCGGCCAACAACCGATCTCTTTGCGACTCCCAGAGTAAAGCCTGGCGAGGTTGATCAGCGGACTCTCGACCAAGATCCCCTTCTGTTGTGCGCTGGTTCGCAACGCGACAAAGGCAGTCTTGTTCAAAATTTACGGTGGCAACCCCACGCGCTCGCCCACCCTGCAACTGCTTCATTTACCCTGTCGCTGATCGCCTCGAATTACGACGCGGAGTAACACCCGGTCGGACGAATTGATAACGGCCGTATCGCACACACACAATACACCTCGGTTACAATTGATTGTCTGCCGATATGAACGCGGAAGTGAAGGAGCAAGATTCCCCAGCTCCCTCGGCTGAGCGCACGGAAGCCAGCCAGGAGATAAGTGCCGCCAGAGAACAACCCGACAAGCCGAAGACCGAGGCCAACGGCGATGGGACTGCGAATGGTGCCTCCGCGAATGGCCAGAAGCCCAACCCGAAAGACCCGTCTAGACCCCGGAGGAAGAAGGCGAGACGGGCTTGTTTTGCTTGCCAGCGCGCACACTTGACTTGCGGTACGACTGATCTTACTTCCAGCGTTGCTTGCATTCGACCCTTTTTTCTCCGATTACACATGAGTTTAGCGCCCATACAGGCGCGCTCTTAGCGGCGCATATCTTTTGTGTGTCTGAGTGAACTTTCAAACTAATTGAGGTTTCGCATAGGTGATGAGCGACCGTGTCAGCGGTGCATCAAGCGCGGTCTCCAAGATGCGTGTCACGACGGGGTCCGGAAGAAGGCCAAGTACCTCCACGATGCGCCGGATGGAGCGTTGATGCCGGGGATTGGCGGGACCTTCTACAACAATCCCATGCGCAACAGCCTGCCCTTGTCTCGGAATGGCGCCAATGCCGTGAACGCGACCGGTCAGCAGAGCGCTGGCGCAAACTTCTATCCTACTCCCCAGTCGACTACCTATGTCTACCAAGAGAATACCATCAACCAAGGCTCGTTTCCTTCGCAATCGCCGGTGTCGCCAACCTTTAACCTCAAGGCTACTCCTACGGCTCGAACCAATAGCCTCCCCTCCGTCAACCCGCAGCCACCGTCCACGAGCGTCTCCGGCCCTCCAGGCCAGGGTCAAAATCCGTTCGCCGGTCCCTTCTTCGACCCCAGCGATCCCGCTCTCTTCAACTTTGACCTTTCTAGCATGAATTTTGAGAACCGATACGGTGCGTTGGAGTTTGGCATGCTGGGACACATGGCGACGGGGGCGGGCGATTCACCGAGTGATTCGGCCACGCAGCGCGGGTCTATGGGGCGCAGTGGCTCGGCACAATATGCTTCAACTCCCATTACTGGGGCACCAGGCTTTGGGGAAAGCCCGGGCAACCAGCAGCCGTTCATGTTTGGGGATCCGCTCCTCAACGAATGGCCCAGCGGACAGGCCCCGGGACAACCGCATCTGCCGGGGGTTTATCCGCAGTCGGGACAAGGCAGCGCGATTCCTGGGCATTTGAGCAAAGCGGACGCGCCGCATGCATTTGCCATCGAAAGCGGGCCGGCTAGTTTCAACAGTCCCGGTGCGACGACTAGCCCGCAGATGACGACTGGGCTTGAGGAGAGCCCGTTTCACAGTGCGGTGGCAAGCAAGTCGAACGGGTTAGCCCCGCATGGACAACAACGACCGTTGATTACAACACCAAGCTTGAAGCATCAGAACTTACAGGTCGGCGTGCGGCGCCGACAACGCAACCCGTCGGCCATCTACGACAGCGTCAAGGAGCCGTACGCATACACCAGCCGTTTTCACGGCCTCACGGCATTCATTCAAAGACGTTTCCCGCCGCAGAAGACGCTGCAGATCGCCAAGGCGCTGGCGTCGATCCGGCCGTCATTCATCGCGACGACCAAGACGCTCAACCGGGACGACCTGATCTTTATGGAGAAGTGCTTCCAACGGACTCTGTGGGAATATGAGGACTTTATCAACGCGTGTGGCACGCCAACCATCGTGTGCCGTCGGACGGGCGAGATCGCCGCGGTGGGCAAGGAGTTCAGTATCCTGACGGGATGGAAGAAGGATGTGCTGCTCGGCAAAGAGCCGAATCTCAATGTCAACACGGGCGGTTCATCAATGCCGAACTCCGGGGCGTCGTCGCGCAGCTTCACGCCTCGGTCGACAGTGGACAGTACGCCCGGGCGCCCGCAGCCAGTATTCCTGGCAGAGTTATTGGATGATGACAGCGTGGTGCAGTTCTATGAGGATTTCGCACGGCTGGCGTTTGGCGACTCGCGCGGTAGTGTGATGACAACGTGCAAGCTGTTAAAGTACAAGACGAAGGAGGACATGGAGGGCGCGGCCGCAGAGGATAACCAGCGCTGGAACAACCACTTGCGCAAGGGGGGAATCGCCAGCGAGGCGGGGATGAACCAGCTAGGGTTCAAGGACGGCAAGGTCGAATGTGCGTACTGCTGGACAGTGAAGCGAGATGTATTCGACATACCGATGTTGATTGTGATGAATGTGAGTATATCCAGTGTTCCCCTGATGTGATGATGATGATGAGGATGATGATGCTAATGAGGGTATAGTTCTTACCGTGCATTTGATTTATGATCATATTTGTTTCATGTTCATACCCGGGCCGGATATCAAAAAGGATGATTGTTGATTATTTTACCGCTAACCTTTTTTTGTTTTGGCAATGACCGGAAGCAATCTGGTCTTGTATTGGTACATATTGCTACTGTGTATGATTCCCAGGCTGACATAGAGGCGTTGTACATATTGAAAGTGGCTATGGTAGCTAGCCATGTAGTTGCAACTGAGTATGATGAGCAACATATACTAAGCATAGATGAACGTAATAACCAAACATTATATCCTCCACAACATACCCCTTTGCCAATTATTTTAATCAATCATAATCAAGTATCATAATCTACAACATCCCCAACCCAGCAATAGCCACACCCATAGCCAAAGCTCCAGCCCCGACAGCATTACGTCCAGCCATACCCGTCTCGGTGCTTCCACTAGCAGTTCCAGTCGCAGTCGCACCACTCAACTTGTCAGCACCCCCAGTGACACTGACAGTCTCATACCCAATCTCCGCACTGGCGATACTCATCTGAGTGTTGCTCGCCGTACTCGTGCTAACTCCCTTGTACGTCGCCTCGACTCCATAGCTCACACTGCAGGACGCGCCCTGCGTCACGCCCGTGATCTTGCAGTCCTCGACGATGGTGAGCACCTCCTGCACACCCTCCATGCTGGTGCTGTACACAGCGGACAGAGTGTATGTGGAGGGACCTGCGGTGACGGTGATGGGGCTGGGCAGGATGCAGTTATCGTCGTTGAGGCATGAGACGGCCATGGTGGTGGCTGTGGGGTTGGCGCTGATGATGGAGGCGCCGAGAGGAACGCTGGAGAGAGAGAATTCGGGGATGTTGGCCCCTGCGGTGGTCGCTGGGTGGTAGGTGAAGAGGGAGACGGTCGAGACGTCGGCGGCGGTAGTGAGAGGGAGGAGGGGGAGGAGAGTGAGGAGAGTGGATTTGGTGAATTGCATTTTGGCGGTTATTTTATCCTTTTGGACGATGATATGTGTAAGTGTGTATGTATATGGTAGAGGTAGGGACAGTGAGAGGTACAATCAGAGTAAAGATTATAGTACAGGAGGAAAGAGATAGATGAATAGGAAGCAGGTGTGTATGATTACAACAAAGAAAGAATGAAACAGGAACAGCCCCAATTTGTACTACTTATGTCTCACAAAGTCACAACCAAATCTATTTAGCTACACTTTGACCCCTGACGACAAGAACCCTGTATTCCGTGTTTACGAGACCCTCATCTCCCTGAAGGTTCTTCTTAGCGTAGCCTCATCCTTCTAATCGACCCCTCTCAGCAAATAGAGTGTCGTAGTGGCCCTCCCCGTTTAGACTCGGCGCAGAACTGTCCCCCGAAGCACAAGACCCTTCTACCTAAAATAGGCGGCAGAGTCCGCCGCTAAACCATGTTCAGGGGGTTAATCTCTGGTCCTGCTCGTATTTGGGATGCAGGAGCCGCAGCTTTAGTTTATATCGGGCTTAGTGGGGTCCTTTCGGTTGCTCTTGGTTTTCAGAGATTGTCGTGAGTCAATTTGGAGAGAGGGTAAAATCTCTGAACAAGTGAGTGGGGGATACGAGTGATCTACATTTCCATTATATACACTGATGAGTTGTTTTCACATGTTGGACTCGTCGAGGAGATTGCCAGTTTTGTTGTTGGCGTCGGTTCTGTATTTAGGGCTGGCATGCATATATAGCTCTGTATCCTGGATTAGTTATATTATGCATATTATGTAATAAACACGTGATTGATAAACATCTAGCTTGTTATCAATCTGACCGCTTTTGTTATATGCCCCTCTATTGGCTAGTATTATCACCTCCGCATTCGGGGCTCACCGCCCGGGAGAAAAAAAATTCTCGAGCGGCAAAGAAAGATGGAAGATCTTCTTCTTGTCGGGTTCAGCTGCAAGTCGAAAGTTCATCAATTGGTCTGATAGACTGCCCACCGTCACAATGGCCGACCAGGAGGTTCCCCATGCCACCTTTGACACCATCCTCATTCTTGACTTTGGTTCTCAATACGTACGCTCTCCCTCTATACCACACTCTCTCTGCCGCTTCCAGTGCTTCAATTACCCCGCCATCCCCATGACTCACATACTGATTCTCCCCCCCAGACGCATCTCCTGACCCGGAGACTGCGCGAGATCAATGTCTACAGTGAGATGCTGCCATGCACTCAGAAGATCGCCGATCTGCCCTTCAAGCCCAAGGGTATCATCCTGTCCGGTGGTCCCTACAGTGTCTACGAGGACGGCGGTAAGCGGAACCCTCCCCGCGGAACCATTCTCTAGAGTTCTATACTCATTCTATCCAACTACAGCCCCCCACGCTGACCCCGCCGTCTTCGACCTCGGTGTCCCCATCCTCGGTATCTGCTACGGTCTGCAGGAAATCGCCTACCGTCTGGGCAAGGACAACGTTGACGCCGGTACCGAGCGTGAGTATGGTCACGCCGACCTCCACGCCAAGCGCCTCGACGACCAGGGCCACGTCGACAAGCTGTTCGCCGGCCTCGAGGGCCAGATCAAGGTCTGGATGAGCCACGGTGACAAGCTCGTCAAGCTCCCCACCGACTTCCACACCATTGCTACCACCTCCAACTCCCCCTATGCCGGTATTGCCCACCAGACCAAGCCCCTCTACGGTGTGCAGTTCCACCCCGAGGTCACCCACACCCCTCTCGGTGCTACCATCCTGAAGAACTTTGCCGTCGACATTTGCGGTGCTCAACAGAACTGGACCATGTCCCGCTTCGTCGACCAGGAGATTGCACGCATTCGCAAGCTGGTCGGTGAGACTGACCATGTTCTGGGTGCTGTCAGCGGTGGTGTCGACTCCACTGTGTAAGTTGATTGTCATTGATTCAATTATTGGGTGGTGCTAATAAGTGCAGTGCTGCCAAGCTCATGAAGGAGGCCATCGGCGACCGCTTCCACGCCGTGCTCGTCAACAACGGTTGCATGCGTCTGAACGAGTGCGACATCGTCGAGGAGACCCTGAACAAGCACCTCGGTATCAACCTGACTGTCGTTGACGCCTCCAAGCGCTTCTTGGACGGTCTCAAGGGCGTCACCGAGCCCGAGAAGAAGCGCAAGTTCATCGGCAACACCTTCATTGACGTCTTCGAGGAGGAGGCTCAGAAGATCGAGGCCGAGGCCGAGCACCAGGGTGCCAAGATCAAGTGGTTCCTCCAGGGTACTCTGTACCCCGATGTCATCGAGAGTATCTCCTTCAAGGGTCCCTCGGCGACCATCAAGACCCACCACAACGTCGGTGGTCTGCCTCGTAAGTATTTCGGTTCTGGAATATCTGGCAACCCGCTAATCCATCACAGAGCGCATGATTGACGGTCAGGGCATGAGACTCATTGAGCCGCTCCGTGAGCTGTTCAAGGATGAGGTGCGCGCCCTGGGTCGCCAGCTGGGCATTGCTCAAGAGCTGGTCATGCGCCACCCCTTCCCCGGTCCTGGTATTGCCATCCGTGTTCTCGGCGAGGTTACCCCCGAGCGTGTGGAGATTGCCCGCCGGGCCGATCACATCTTCATCTCCATGATCCGCGAGGCTGGTCTGTACGACCAGATTGCGCAGGCCTACGCTGCCCTGGACCCCAGCAAGGCGGTGGGTGTCATGGGTGACAAGCGTGTGTACGCCGAGATCATCATCCTGCGTGCTGTTGAGACGACCGACTGTAAGTGAGCTGATTACTTTGCTGGTGATGATGGACTAACAGATGGCAGTCATGACGGCGCGCGCATTCCCCTTCGACAACGAGTTCCTGAGCCGGTGCTCGACCCGCATCATCAACGAGGTCCACGGCGGTATGTTACATTCTCCTTCTAACACTAGGAATATCTGCTAACTCGTGTAGTGTCCCGTGTCCTGTACGACATTTCCAGCAAGCCTCCGGCGACGATTGAGATGGAGTAAAATAGTTACGATTAAACTGATAGTACGAGTCATATCATCCATTAGAGGAACGGAGTTACGGCAAAACGGGATGAACGTAGATAATCCTGAAATATACCATTTTATCTATCTGCGAGTAAGAGTGCAACTCTGTAAGCTGGAAAGGGGAGTAGATAATTGGCCAGTTGGTGGATGCCCTGATGAAGCCTGAACTCCACAATCGCATCGTTTGATAGTCCATAGCCCCACCTGTCTTATCGCCGATCTCTCTTCCATCTTATTCTCTCGCGCTCTCTCTCTTCCTCCACCTACCACTACTTCAACACCATCCACTCATCTCAGCTTCTAAAATGCGCCCCGATCGGCCTCGCGACCCCGTCACCGGTCCCGAAGAGGGACCGGAGCCCCCGTATCCCATCCGCATGAGTGGACCTGTCATCAAAGGCTTCGGGCGGGGCAGCAAAGAGGTACCTTGCACCTCCAACCCAGAAGTCCAGCAGCTCCAACTGACGCAAAGAACCGCAGCTGGGCATCCCAACAGCCAACATCCCCGCCGATGAACTCTCCCAGCATCCCGAATTATCCGTAGGCGTCTACTACGGCGTCGTGGCGCTGGATCCAGCGCGCTTCGCAACGGGGGAGACCATCCGCCCGGCGGTGCTGAGCATCGGATACAATCCTTTCTACAAGAACGAGTCCAAGTCAATCGTACGTCCCACCTCCCAGTTTTGTCACTCATATACCACTTGAATATGCAATAGATTAATGCTCTATTGTCTGCAATGCAGGAAATCCACATCATGCCGCCCCTCTCCGCCCCCTCGCCGACCGCCACTACTTCTACCGACGGACAGGTCACCTTCCACAAAATGCCCGACTTTTATGGCACGCCACTCAACCTGCTGATTTTGGGATATATCCGTCCTGAATATGATTATGTTTCGTCGGAGGCGTTGATCGAAGATATCCGCGTCGACTGTGAGGTCGCGAGGCGGAGTTTGCAGCGCCCGGCGTATCGGTGCTATTTGGTTGAGGATCCGGCTTGTGAGGGGAATGTAAGGGAGGAGATTCGCTGGTTGACCAGTTTCGAGTAGATGTTGCAGCAGCATTGTGGTATAGTGGTTGACGCCATTGAGCGGTGGCGCTATGCGAGGGATGGGAAAACTCGAGACTTGTATATAGATCGACGTCACTGACTCACGATAGATACGATAATGCGATAGAATTGCCACGCATATATGTATGCAATGGATCGGGCTGGTTTACAACCCAACTACAACTAATGAACTGACGGTGTACACACAAAGTTAATACTACTCAACCCGTCCCTGGCTGAATGGATCCACGTCGCCCCTGTGAGATGAGAACAACACCCTGGAATCGTCGACGTCACTGAGCATGTCCGCCAAAGCATAAGCCACCAGCATACAGTATATATATAAATCGGGATGCTCGGAGTTCGCACCATGGATGACCATATTACTCTTAGTAGTACATCTACTATATACCACAATATATACTTGAATATTTTAAATAATACTACTAGAATGGACCGTCTCCGCCAACACCTCCGTCGTCGTCGCAGCAGCTCCGCCGGCACAAACCCTACCAACAGCAACTATGGTACACCACTACAATCTCCCCCATCAGCCAACGACAAACACAGTCGTCGTCGCGAAGCAGAAGCCTCTCCCCCACGCAGACTATACCTGACCTCCGATACTCCCGACTTCGACGCGGGGATCCTATCGCGCTTCCGCGCCGAGGGCTTCGACGTCGAGTATCTCCCCTTCCGGGGGTGTCAAAATGCAGCAGATGGCTGTGGGGATGTAGATAAAGAGCGCAAGGAATTGGAGAATCTGTTGCATGAGAGGGAAGATGATCTCGAGCCGGGGGAGAGATATGCTGTCGTTGGTAAATTTCCCCCCTCCCTCCCATCATACCCTACCCTACTTAACAACTACTCCATGATATACATGACTGATATTAATGGTATAAAGCATACAACAAACCCGCCCACCTCCTCCTCGAATCCCACCACCAACCACTAACAGCCACAAACCCCTTCCCCAGACTCTGTGCCCTAGTGGCATACTATCCCGAAGGGCCTCTCACCTCCACCTCCACCACCAACAACAGCAACTTCCTCACCAGTACATCCCCAGACACTTCTCGCGGAACAACAGGAAGTACAGGAAGTACATCCTCAACAACAACACCAACAACCTACCCCCCCTCCATCCCTCTCCTCTGTATCCAGATCCACCTCGCCGGTACTTCCACCACCACTTCCTCAATAGCAGACACCCTCCTCAACAGCACCAAAAACCACCCCCGGAAACGCCACCGCTGCCACGTCTTCACCTACCCCGAATCATCCCCCAGGTTCGCTGAGCCTTCTTCGTCGAACTATGACAAGCTCTCCGCGCGTCTAGCGTGGTCTCGTGCCCTCGAGACCCTAAAGCGGGGGTTCGGATGGCCCGCGACGAAATGGCGCGTGCCGGATGTCGAGAGCGTGTGGGAGGAGTATTGGCGGTGTTTGTCTTCCACTTCCACTTCTGCGGAAGGGGGAGGGGATAGGAGTGAACGAGACGAAGAAGACGAGCGCAGTCACCGCGCAGCAGAACTGGTAGGGTTAATGGTAGGCAGTGGAATGGGGGTGCAGATGGAGAGTGTGCATAGTAGTGGGAGTTCTTCCTCACATTTATATACTGGTGCCGGGAAGGGCACAGAGACAGAGACTTGCACCATTGAAGAGTCGCCCGTCGTGGTGTGTGTGCCTACTTGTGCTGGTGGTATGTATCCCTCCCTCCTTTCCATCACCATGATACAAAATATATAGTAAACATGACGAGATACTAAAGAAAGTTGATGATGGCATAGGAACAACCCCCTCCACCATAACGAAATTCTATACCAACAGCAACTTCCTCTCACCCACACCCTCTCCCTCTAATCAATCCATCCGTCTGCTCTCCCGCACTACAGGGCCCGATCGCATCGTCGATGAACTTCTCCTAACCTTCAGGCATGATCGTGCTATTCCATGGTTACTGCCGAACCTGCCCCCGACGGGGAAGGATGTCAAGGTGGCGTTGGTGCTGGTGGCCAGTTTCACGGCGGGAAAGGTCGCCCGCGTGCATGCTTATTGGGATCAGGCCAGTGTGTTGGTGCAGGTGGGGGTTTTGAGTAGAGATGGGTTGCCTGTTGTTGGGGCGGAGGGGGTGGATATGGTTGTTTCTTAGGGTGGATGTTTTGGTTTCTTTTGGTGTGCGTAGTAGTATGTATAGTAGTATGATGCTTGTTTGATGCCAATTCATAGATCATGGATGAGTATGAACGCACTATATACTTCCAGCTAGTCTGGATATCTCTTTACTTACTCCTCCCTCCTGCTGCAATGTCAATACGCTCGCTTCTTGTGCTCGTGGAATCACCTCCTCCACCGCTCCTCCCCGCGCCAGTCCTGTCACTACTGCTCCCAGCAGCGTATCGCCCGCTCCGTTGACGCTTACAATGTCCTTTTCATCTAGCTCTGCTGCAGCTGGGAACAGCCGCAGGTACACACCCCCGATCAGCCCGTCCGACGTCAACGCCCGCGAGAGGATATACGGTGCTGACTCCGGACTCGTCAGTCGCGCATCGCCCGGCCGCAGCAGCTGCGTCAGAAGCACGCCTTCCCGGCCTAGCTTGGTGAGAACGCACGGAATAAACGGCAGTAGCTGGATGCTTTGCTGTGGGATTCCCTGGTCGACCAGCGTCGCCGAGGTCATGGCTACTAGTCGTTCGCGTGACCCTGATCCCGTCATTCCCATGGCGTCGATGATACGCCACCATTCCTCTGAGTCCAGGTGTCCGTTCTCCCGCGCGGCTTGGTACATGGCTGCTAGCTCGAACTGGTTCGGGGCAGCCAGGCTGACGGTGTTGTTGGGAACGCAGTCAGATGGCTTGATGGCGGACCCGAATAGACGACGGCTTTTCGCTGTGGACACGGGCTCAAAGGCTACCCGTGCCTTGTGCTTCTTGGCTAGGGATACCCATTTGCTCAGGACTTCGCCGTTCCAGTTGGCGTCGACTACTGCCCATTGAGGCTGTGCGCGGGACATCATCGGTTCCCAGAAGTTGTCAAAGTCTAGTGTTTGCTCTGGCAGTTCCATGATTGCCATGTCGGCCATGGCTACTACTAGGTCTTTCTTCGCGTCGTTGACGGCTATGTATTGGGCCGTGCGTGCTCCGGAGGACGGAGGGAGCACCTTGATGCCGGCTGTGGAGAGACCCTCCTGTCGGAGACTGGACAGCGCAGCTTGACCGCTTAAGTCGTCACCCACAACGCTGCAGAACAACACAGAGCTGTCCAGATACCTTGCGGCAATGGCCACATTGTGTCCAACTCCCCCTAGGCTCTGTCCGATGACGGCGCGGTTTGATGTCTGCAAAGCGGGCGTCGTGGTGTTTGCTTCGGCCGGGGCAAAGTCGCAGGAAAGATCGATGGCCAAGGAGCCAGCCACGAGGACATCCGCCTTGGTTATAGTCTCCAGTGGAGTCTTAGTTGCATGCTCCAGCTCTGTTTCAGTCGCTTGGTCAGCCCTACTGGTCCCGGAGAAAGCTGGCATGTGTCTGCGCACACCATCTCAATTAGGATATCCCGAGTCTGAACGCACGAGTGGCAGCTCACCGTTCATTGAGCGCCCCCCCAGACCGCTCCAGTTTGGAGAGTTCTACGGCAACCTTGGCCGCGCGCTTCACGTTCGCCTCTACCAGAGCTCGGTTGGCAATCACGCTCTTTCCGCCGCTGAGTTCCTTGATCTTGGCCAGCACAAAGGGCGTGTTGTCACTTCCATGGTAGCCCTCGACGTCGGCGAGGCGAAGAGCTTCGTCGATGATATGGTCCATATCACTCTTTGCAACAGAGTGCTCAAGTGGTACCGGGTTGGCAAGAAGGATGCCCGACGAGACGGGGATTTGCGACTGGGCGTCTGTATTCATCAGTATCTTATGTGCGTCAGTGAGATATGCAGCAAGACTTACAGACAATAGCCGCGGCCTCGGCCTCATTTTGAATGACCTTTGGACTCTTCAGCCCGCTGTCCCGGGTGTAGAATGCAGGAAAGTCCACAGAGCCCTGGCGACCATCGGCAAAGGTTCCCACACAGACGCCCTCCGTCTCGAGGTATTCGAGCGTACGCGGGATGTCCAGGAAGCTCTTGCACCCAGAGCTGACAACCGCCACCGGTGTGCGTCCCAGTTCAGTAAGGTCGGCTGCTACAGTTAGCCGGACTCTCGTTATATCCATAGCTGCACGTACCGGAGATGTCCATGGAGATCTCGCCGCCGCGATGCACACCACCTAGTCCACCAGTGCCGAATATCTTGATCCCCGCCAAGTGCGCGAGCACCATCGTGCCAGACACAGTTGTACCCCCATGAAGGCGTTTGCCAGCCAGCCCCTACTACTGTCAGATGTGTATCGATAAGAGGAATCATCCCACCCACCAAGCCACAGATGTAACCAAGGTCTCGCCGAGACACTTTCAGCGCATTCTTCTTCTCCGCAGTTGATGCTAGCTCGACAAGCTCCTCGGGACTTAATCCAACGCGTGCTTCACCACCAAGAATTCCAATTGTAGCAGGCATAGCGCCATTGGACCGGACGACCGACTCTAGCAACTCTGCCAGAGCAACGCTCTCAGGATAGGGAAATCCTGTAACTGTCAGCTATACCCAACCAACCAAGCAGGTAGAAACCATACCATGAGTATAGATGGTCGACTCGAGAGCCACGACAGGCTTCCCAGTAGCAACAGCATCGCGGACTTCCTCAGACACCTTGAAGAGCTTGCTCTGAGCGAGACCGTGATAGCGCCGGGCTGCTACCGCGGCTCGTGCCGGGGCTCTAGCTGACCGGCAGCATGAACGAGCAGCAGCTCGAGAAGCGAGCATGGAGACCACGATGGTTGGGACACTGAAAACTACAAGCAAAAAAAACGAGAGTCTCGTAGCTAGACAGTGCGGGGATAGAGTTGCAAGGAGGAATCGCGGGTTATCGGCGATAAAAGCAGGAAGTTTTGGCCGCGGCGGTCGCCGTACGTAATTCGTAATCCCGCATCGGGACACCTCAGCATCTCCGCGCGTCTCTTTCTCCCCCTCGACTTATCGCCCAATTCCTCCCACCTTCCCGTCCATCTTCTCGCTCATTTCTTTCTCCTTGGGACTATCTCCTGGTGAGTGTATAGGTCCTAGGCGCGGTCGTTGAAAGACCGCCCATATCGCCCACTATGAGGCCGTTTACCGCACTCGCTGCGCTGTGCGGCTTGTTCCTGTCCAGCAGCAACAGCTTGGTTTATGCCGACTCGACTCCCTCGAGCTCCCCTGTAGCTCTTCCTCGCGATTTCAAGCCTCCCCAAGTGTTTAAGAACGCCAATCTCGTCCGCAACACCAATTTGGAGAAGGGTTATTTGCGTGAGACTGTCAATGTTGTCGTTGAGAATGTGGACAAGAAGCCGCAGTCCGACTACTACTTGTCCTTCCCGTCAGACCTCTACGACAAGGTCGGTGCCCTAGAAGTCCGTGATAAATCGGCTCCTGAACAGGGACGCTTCGAGGTGGAAGCTACTGAGTTCGACTCGAGCAGGTAAGTCGTCCGCAATGGCGGCCAATGGCTGGGTTGGTGTAGGACGAAGCCACGGTTGCTTGATCTATGCATGGTGGATGTATCTAGAACGGCTTGCTGATCTTTTGTCTTCTTGACCATACAGGGACTTCCAGTACTTTGTTGTTCACCTTCCCAAGCCTCTTGCCCCTTCGTCGCAAATCACCCTGGGCATCTCCTACTCCGCCCTCAACACCTTGAAGCCTCGTCCTGCGGCCATCAGCCAGACTGATCGCCAGTACCTCGCCTATGCCTTCTCGGCCTACGCTCCCTCGGCGTACACGACCGCGACCCAAAAGACCAAGATCAAGTTCCCCAGCACCGTTGTCCCCGACTACACCACCACGGACCTGACGTCGGGCGCGGATCCAGAGCGCCAGGGTGCCACCTACACCTACGGACCCTACGCCGACATCGGTCCCGAGACCACCTACCCGGCCAGTGTCCGGTACGAGTTCACCAAGCCCGTCATCACTGCCACTCTTCTGGAACGTGACCTGGAAGTGTCCCACTGGGGCGGCAACCTGGCGACGGAAGAGCGCTACTGGCTGCGCAACAACGGCTCCAAGCTCACTGACAACTTCAACCGCGTGGAATGGACCATCAGCAGCTACCAGCAGCTGCCATCCTCCGCTATTCGCGAGCTGAAGATCCCCCTTAAGCCGGGCTCCGTGGACCCCTACTTCACCGACGACATTGGCAACGTCTCCACGAGCCGCTACCGTCCCGGAAAGGTCCCGAACCGCGACGCCTCCCTGGAGCTCCGTCCCCGCTTCCCCATCTTTGGCGGATGGAACTACAGCTTCCGCATTGGCTGGAACAACGACCTCTCTGCCTTCCTTCGCAAGGCTGTCACCGGCGCTGATTCTTACGTCCTGAAGGTCCCCTTCATCGAGGGCCCCAAGGTCCCCGAGGGTATTCAGTACGAGAAGGCTGTCGTGCGCATCATCCTCCCCGAGGGTGCCCGGAACGTCCGCTACGAGCTTCTCGAGAAGGCGACTAGCAATGGCCTCCCCGGTGCCAACCAGATCCAGACTGAGCTCACCAGCCACAAGACTTTCATGGATACCCTGGGACGCACGGCGCTGACTTTGACCGTGGAGGAGTTGACGGATGAGGCCCGTGACTCGCAGATTGTGGTAAGTAACTACCTACATACACCGGATAAATATCGGGAATAGTCAAGCTCACACATTGGATATAGATCACTTACGACTACTCTCTGTGGGATGGACTGCGCAAGCCCGTGACCATCACGGCTGGCCTGTTCACCGTGTTCGTTGCCGCGTGGGCAATTGGTAACATTGATGTGAGCATCAAGAAGCGGTAGATGGAGGTTGTATCATATTGTTTCAATTATACCAGACAGACAGACAGAATTCAATAGTAGCTGTTTGTAGACGACTAGAGATTGATAGTGTGATCTAATGATTCCCTTCTGAGTAATATGGAGACTGCCTAATGCAGAATGGTCTTTGCACTGAGGAGTCCGTAGGTTATCAGCTGTCAGCGTCACCTGACATACTAGGCGTCTCTAGCTTAAAAGTTTGGCAAACCAAAAGGGATTAGCCTCTATTGTATGTTATTTCAACGTTCTATATCTGGGACTGCTAATGATGGCCAGATCAGTGGGACCCTCGGATGCATGATAAGGACGCTCATGTGTTTGTTTCTGTGTGCCTTGCATTATGAGAGAGCCTGGAAACGGATCACATAGATTTGAACAGCGAGAAATAGGGGAAGTGTAAAGTCCGCTGTGACGGGTACTCACCATCATCAGCCCTCTTGAATCTTCTACAGCACTATCTCAATCCATTGCACTCGTTGCCTGTTCGATTGGTTGTACACATGGTGGAGCAAAGTTTCACTGTATCAACTTCGAACTTTTATAATGACAATCATTGCAGGTGTAAACTAGTTCACCATGCAGCACGCTGAGTGCATTATGGATGGGTTCACCCGACGCAATATAGATAGTTGAACTGTATCCCGTCCAGTAGGATCTTATCGGAGGACCTACTCATTGTGAGCGAAGACGACCACAAGCTCCTCAAGCCGGTTGTATTGCAGCTTGCACCATGCAGGAGTGAGAGCAAACCAAGCGGAAGCTGATCAACGTGGTTTGCATGCAGATGCTGCAGAGTGTAAATGATAGATGTCTGCAGCTCATCAGCCATTATACTGCCCCCTAACTACCTCCAGTGCACGAGGGCAATGGCAGCGACCAAGCAGCCTTGACTGCATCCAACCATTCGAAACTCTGAAATGCAGGTGACAGAGTTGGCCTTGGTATGTGACCTGTCGGGATCGGACTTGCTGATGATATGTCGCCGGGATAAAGTTCCTCCCAGCAGCAGCCGTGTCTTCATGCAAAGCTGTCCGAGAGCCTATTCAGCTGAGTGTCTTTGATACAAGTCTAAAGACTAAGCACCTATCAGCGACCAGCAGCCGAGCTCGAGCAATCAAGTAGCAAAGACGGTGAAAATACTCGGGAGTCACAAGATGCAGAATGCGCGACACCGCTTGTGCGTGCCTCATCCTGGCATGTCTGGATTACATCCAGGCAGCGAATGGCGGGTTGTACGTCATTGCATCAAGGAATCACGGCAACCGAACGAAGCAGCCGACAGCGAATGGGAGCCGCTGGGGATGGCGCATGGTCCGGGAGTATTCTTTTGTCTTCCAGTGATGGAGTTCTCATTACTTCATATGGACCATTCGAGACGACGAGCAAGTGGAGCCTCCGGTGGGTTAAAGCAAAACCACTCATGTTTGGAAGTCTGATCCCCATCCGTTCCACTTCCACCAGCCAAGGGGAAGGGGCGAAAGATATTGAAAGAGAATGAGGAAAAGGAACAATTATCCACCCCCGCCTCTAAAAGAAGAGGGGAATGTTGGGAATTTGGAACTTTGGGGAAAAGAGGATACGCGGACGGACTTTCTATGGGGTAATAGCACGGGGTAGGCTTGAGCCATTTTAATAATGGGAATTCCGGCTGGGGATTCCGAAGCATTTCATTTGACTGGGGAAGTTGGACTGTTGGAGACTAGTAGGAGGCAGTTTCCCTCAAACCCTCCCCCTCCCCGCAAGTTGACTAGGAATGGATTGAGAATAGTACAGAAATGGTAGCCACGGGCCATCTTCCAGGTACCGATCGACCATCCCCCCCCCCGCAAGTCTAGATGCGTGAGGAAACTTCGACGGACACATATGACTTCACACTCAAAGAAATTGGAAATTGCGTGCCCGCTAACTCAATACTACTTCTTTTCTACTAAGTGGTTACCCAATACTAAGTAACTTAACTAATCAATTATCCCCGACAGTGCAAATCTCCCAAAAGTGGTATTGTAATGGCGGTGTGTGTGATCCATCCTTCCCTCAATGCGGTCAAGTACCAAGTAGGTTTAGTTATCAGTCAGTTTATCAGGCTGGACACAAAGGAGCCCAATGATTCTGGGCCAAGTTGATAGATCTATTCCTAAAAAAGATAATCTGTATCTATAGTAGTCTAAAGTAGTAAGTATCATTGAAGAAACTACCCTCAACTGATCACAATTAACCATGACAAAGTACTCGAATTCTTGCTGCTATCTATCTGCCACACACATCCGATAAGAAACCCCGGTTGCTAATATGATAAGCCCGAAGAGCAATCAAGTGCGGCATTTTTCCCTCCGTTGATGCTCGCCATTACGCAGAGAAACCTGCAAAATTCGGCATCGTCGGCGATGATTTGCAGCGGACTGGCCACCATGACACACCAAAACCCCCTTTCGAAACCTACAGCCCTACTAAGTGGAGTTGTTGGCCCCCTCCAGCCGGTCCGGTCAGCTGACTAAACCGGGAATTTAGAGGCAACAGAACGTACACTAACTAAGTATGGATGCTGTAACGGAGTATCTTACGGGGAAAGAATTATAACTGGCCTTCTACTATCTACCTACTTTATTACTTACTTACTTTGACTGACTGACCTCACTGCATGCAGGTGGTCAAAGACCTTACCGGCCATCTCAATCGAGTTTCTCACACAGACACATACTCACACACACTATCTATCTATAGTGAGTAATAGATCTCAATTTGGATCTATCCCGTAGAAGTCTCACGCGACAGAGAGTCACTTTATTTTCTAAATTTGTGCCTGGACGCCGCCGCCCCTGGACTGAACTCAGGTGACACTCCCTTTTACTCCATACCTTGTTAGTAACTATGAACCGGCAAAACCAGCCACAATGACTCCAGCTCCCGTTCCAAAGCATCTGAGGCAATTTTTCCATTTTTAGCCCTGGGCTACCAATCACGTCGGTATCTTGCGGTATTTTTCACACTTGCCTCATTTGAACTAAAATGGTTCGCGATACCGAAAAAGGAAGCTGGGACCCACTCGACTTGGCATCGTGAATCGAGTCATCCGCCGTGGAGCCGTTGCACAGACGGGCCAGTATCAATGAGGGAAAGGGAAAAGGAAAAAAGGAAAAGAAGGGAACGTACATGGGAGTAAGGCAAGGAGAGAAATAGAAAGTTTTTTTTTTCATGGATGAAAGTACCGCTTCATATACACAGTCTACTTCCGGCGTACAAGCCTCATTGAGTCTGTACTACATAACGTATCTAGCCACCGTGGTATCTTGAGTAGGAACAAAACATGAATTTGACAGTTGGAGACCACAACGGCAACGTGGAGACCCATGCACAAGGGCGGGCCATCCATGATCCTCAGGCAGAAACAGCCAGGCCGTCCAACGACTTGCCCCGGACCGGGCCCCGTTCCTGGCCGATCGCATAGCACCGGCTCTCTGGGTTTGGCTGGCTGGCCGAATGATAACTATTTGGGCTTCCCAAAGAAGTGTTGCAGGTATGACTTAATAATGGCTGTGCCATTTCGGATTAAATTTCGTTTTGGGAAATCTCTGAATTTTTATTTTTATTTTTTATTTTTCTAATTCTTCTTTTTCTTTCGATGTGATAATAAGAAATGTTTATTATTCAATTATTATTATTTGTTTTACCTTTGGGGAAATACGACTCTTCGTCTGGCTTCAGCTCCAGTTTGTATAAAGAGCCAGCATCTGCCGTGTGGATTCGCACCGGATTTCCATTGCTTTGTTCGTGTCCATCACCGTGAATAACTTTCCTTTGTGATTTGATTTGATTTGATTTGATCTGATCTGATCTGATCTTGATTTGAATTCGCATCCTTCTTTCCTTCTTGGATAAATTGGATCCTCTCCACTACTTAACATTTCCCTCTTCTCTCCCCATCTTCCACTCTCATCTGTGTTTCGTTCCATTCGTGAAATCCTAAAACTCTCTCAACTCAACCTCTCTGTGCATTTTATTGGTGACGTGTCGGTTGATGGCTGGTACCGACAAGTGAACCCGTTTCAGTCTGTTTGGCTCATTTCTCTTGCTCTCCCCGATAAGCTTCGAGCTTTCGTCATTGCCTTGGCCCGTAGCAACGCCAGATCACCAATTTTCCTTTGCATCAATCGACGCTTCCATTGAGGTAGGTTTGTCGCTTGTGGTCTAGAATTTCCATTCTTTCCCTTCTTGCTTCCTTCTATATCTCTCTGCGCCGGCGCCATCTCCTGCACATCTTTATGCAGCTGTGTGGCTGCCTTATCTTTCTCGGCTTCAGCTTCCCTCCCTCTCTCCCCCCTCCATTCTCGCGCACGAACCAGTTTTCTTATTATCGCTAGCAGCTTGGCTCCTGTCTTTGTTAATCCATGCATGGCTCACCAGGTAGCAGGTATAAAACCCACTAGTGCCGCCTCTTTTCTGAGTTCAATTGAGCCTCTATATTCCTCTTGCCACTCCACTCCCATCATGGTCTCTCCCGCGCCTTCTTCGTCGCCTCTTTCCGACGGCCACCTCAATGGCACCAACACCCTTCCCATGCGGACGGGGCCGAAACTCTACGGGAGCAACGATGGTTCTCAGTCAGGAGCTGGAACTCCTCTTGGTTTCCAAAGACACCCCCACAATAAGATCCTTGACAATGTAGCTGGCTCCAGCGTGCGCCAACCATCGCCGCAGCCCACACATCTGGCCATCCCCGGTGGTGGCCAGCATCGCATTCTGTCAGAGGAAGACCCCGGCTATGTGGCGGCCAAATTCGAAGGGAAGGAAAAGCAAATGGAGCAAGGTGAGTGGAATTCGAAATCCGTCTGATTCTATTGGTGGCAATTCATCTGACTCTTTGCTCTCTCGTTCACCAGTCATGGATCAGCTGGAGAAGAAAGGCTTCATTCCCATTGAATTTGTCGTCGGGGAAACCGAGTGGTTCTACAACCAGCTCGGCATTGACGACACATACTTCCAGACCGAGTCTGTGGACGCTATCGTCACGCAGATTCTCTCGCTATATGCTGCCAAGGTTGCAGCTTATGCCCGTGACGACAAGAAGCTCGAAATCCGGTTGGATAAGGAAGCAGAAGATCATGCTGTCTACATTGATACCAGCAAGCCCGGTATCGCAACAGTCGAAGGCCCCGGGTATGAACAGCGGATTGATAAGAAGTATATCAACCCCTCGACTCAAGGCAACAGCTATCGCGTTGAGACCTTCCGTTCCCCGACACCTATCCCCGGTGATGATGGGCAACAGCTCCGTTGTTACTTCGTGTACAAGTGCCAGTTTGCCAACCCTAATCCCGATCCGTACGAGACCAACATCGATATCATCGGCGAAAAGAGGTTCCTGCAGAAAGCCACCCCTAACACCAAGGCGATCTACCAGGAAATCATCAGCAATGCCGTGAGCCGCTCCGGCCCGGTTATTGAGCTGTTTGAGATTGAAAAGAGCCGCGAAAAGAGACTGGTCATTGCCTACCGCCAAGGCTCTGCCATGGGGCTTTTCAGCGCGCTCTCCGATCTGTACCACTACTACCGCCTGACCAGCTCACGGAAGTACCTGGAGAACTTCTCCAACGGCATCACGGTGATTTCGCTTTACCTGCGTCCTCTTCCTAACAAGGAGATTGCCGCCAAGTATCCCCCGATTGAGGCTGCCATCCACCAGATCATCAAGGAAGTCTCCCTTTTGTACTGCATTCCGCAGAACAAGTTCCAGCACCATTTCGCCAGTGGCCGCCTTAGCTTGCAGGAAACAATCTATGCCCACTGCGCCTGGGTGTTCGTGCAGCAGTTCCTGAACCGACTGGGATCCGAATACATCTCCCTGACAGATCTTTTGGATTCGAACAACAGCGTCCATGCGGAGCTGTTGGCGAAGATCAAGAAGAGGTTGCGTACCGAGACGTTCACCTCGGACTACATCTTGGAGATCGTCAACAAGTACCCGGAACTCATCCACAAACTTTACTTGGACTTCGCCAACACGCATTACGTGCAAACGCGGGGTCCCGCCGAGGATGACTTCCTCCCCACTCTGAGTTACCTGCGTCTGCAGGTTGACGAGGTGTTGGACGGCCACAAGCTGAAGCAGCTCATCTCGAGTACTGCGGCCAATGAACATGACGAAATGGTCATGAGTGCCTTCCGCGTGTTCAACGCCTCCATCCTCAAGACCAACTTCTTCACCCCAACCAAGGTTGCTCTCAGCTTCCGACTCAACCCCGACTTCTTGCCGGAACATGAGTATCCCCAGCGCCTCTACGGTATGTTCTTGGTAATCAGCTCCGAGTTCCGTGGATTCCACTTGCGATTCCGGGATATTGCTCGTGGCGGCATCCGTATTGTCAAGAGTCGGAACAAGGAGGCCTACAGTATCAATGCGCGCTCACTATTCGACGAGAACTACAACCTTGCCAATACCCAGCAACGCAAGAA